AGATGTAACATGTTAATTAGTGAGCTAGGGGTGCATACAGGTGAATTTTGTTTACCTTTGGACAAAACCAAGCTAGCTGTTTCCCCCTGTTTCCAGTCTTTGTGCTAAGCTAAGCTATAACCAGCTGCTGGCTGGAGCTTTATATTTACCATACAGACATAAGTGGTATCAATCTCACTCTCAACAAGAAAGCAAATAAGTATATTGTATATGTATCTATAATAATTGTTTAATGATTCCTTCGTCCTCACCTTGAACTCTAGATGGGTTTGTTTTTTATCCGCTGTTTTTATCAGCAGTACAATCACAGATAGAAAAAGGACAAGAGGGCTATGTGTTTCGATTTCCTGTTTCCTGTCTTCCTATCTTGATCTGATTAGCTGACAATAAAGTTTAATTTTGACATAGGCGTGGGTATTTGTGTGTCTTTTTAGATGGAGTGTAATGACGTACGAGATTCCCACCACCACTAAACGCACACCGATTGTGAAAGAAGACGACAGCCTTGATTCTCCTCTGCAGGTAAAGTACTCTGCAGAACCTTCAGGAAGCCGTCTGCTTTTTGACAGATGGTATCCATAAATTAGCCTCACAAAGCCAGATCTCACAAGCTCCAAGAATTATTTTGGAAAACATCTACTGAGAATCAATTTGAGCATGGCAGCTGGAAGCCAAAGCAATCAGACCTTAAACCATGGGGAGCGGGTGTCACTATCGACCATGGGTAGTTCTATATTTTGAATTTAAGATGAAACCTGCCTCTCAACTCTCAAAACAAGATGTTTGTTAAAGGTACAGGCTGTAGTTTTTAAATGACGCCGTGATTCTGCACCTGCAGAGCCAGTTTCTCACCACTAATCCATTCATTACTTTGGTGGATAATTTAGGTAAAATTTCCCAAAGGAGCCATCATATGTTTCTCGTTTAAAGACTTTAAGTCTCTCCTGAGTAATTTGTCAGTTAAATGTTGATCCAGTCAACCAAAATCGGATTTCTTTCAATCAGTGACAGCAATAAGCCTGAACTAAGCACAAAGCAGCTTTCAGTAAAAAGTACATAGAAGATGCTACATTGACTTTGTCTTTTATAGAAGCTCTTGATCCTCCGGTGACGTTCTTAGATGGGTTTAGTTAGAAATTGCATTTCTCAAAGGTTTTAAATTTGATTATATTTCTAAAGTCATGATTGAAAAGTTAAGAAATGCCTGAATAAACCACATACACATGCTTTTTGCACATAAACAACATCTGAAAAACACAAACTTACCAGTACAACACATTTCTAAATAATGGAGGTCAGAAAACCCCAGAAAAAGAGACAAAACAGATTTCTGCTCTACTAAACCACGCAACAAAGCTTTTTCGTCCTGGGTACGTTCAATTTAACATGAAATTTAAGATATTCAGTACTGAATGTTTCGGGGTTTTTTGGTTTAAATCTCATTATTAAGTGGATGAAAACTATCATGTCAAATTTTTGGTAAATTATTAAGAGAAAAATCATGACCAAGGCCAACTTCCTGCGTGATAACTTACTGGACCTTTTCAGAAAAAGTAGTCCCACAATAAACCTCCACCATTTTCTTTGTCTAAAGTCTCTCTCTTCCTCTCAGGTCCACATCACTCAGTATGCAGACTCCGTGGCCTCCCACCTCGCCAAGATCCTGGACTCGGACAAACACAGTGACGTCATTTCTTCTGCCAAGTATGTGTCGCTTGTTTAGAAAAAGAAAAAAAAAACGGGGGCGGGGAGAGGAAATTAAAGAAGAAGGGAGGAGAAGGTAGGTGGAGGGTGGGAAGGCAGGGAAGATGAGAATAAAGATGGCGGGAGAGACAGGCAGTGGGTTCGGTCAATGGGTATTGATTTTTTTTTTTTTGCTTTGGTCTCCTCCCTAAGGACACACACACACTGTCACACACACACACACACACACGGAGGGGGCTATAAGTGTTGCCCAGCTGTAAGTGAAACAGACCGATGAATCAGTATTTAGGGGTCATCCTTAGTGCATTAGTACATTAGTAGTCTTCCTTTGGGAAGAGTCGAGTGGCCATTACAGGGCACTTTCCTCCACCGCTCTGTGTGTTTTAAACTGCTGCTGATTGTAGTGGAAACCTGCAGCACATTTAAAACACCTCTGGGACTTGAGGACCACACTAAAAGCACATTTTCATGGAAACATAACATCAGTGTTGTCGGACAAAGAAAATGTGTTCCTTTTTTGGACTCACATGGTGGAATTGTAATAGAATACGATCAGCCAGGGGTCAAGAGAAACACTATTATTTTTATATATATATATATATAAATATATATAAATATATAACATAAAAATTCAACTTTATGATTCCACTAGGATCAGCAAGTTCACTTTTCTCATGCTAACTTTTTCATTATATAAGTGTAATTTGTCAACTACTCAGGAGTTTGAGGACAAAAAGACTTTTAATATAAGAGACTCTGGTAATTGCCAGTGATGGATGAAGTCCCTGAAAGCCAAGTATGAGTAAAAGTACAGATATCTTACCAGAAAAGGCCTTGGGTCACCTTAATATTTATTGAATAAAGTGTCTGATATTTACTGTACTTAATCATCAAAAGTAATATAATAAGTTAATAAGAAAGAAAGCAGTCAGACTTTTATTCTTTAAGCATGTACACAACTTAACAACACTAAAAACAAGCACTAAAATCTTAAAAGGATCAATGTGAATGTGTGTTTTTGCCTCTTAGAGCAAAAAAGCTGCATCATTTTTGTTTCAATCTATGGATGTTTCACCTACTGATACCAGAATAAGTAGTCGATTCTGGAGGAAATAACAGCATGGATGACCTTTTCTAGGCCTGCAGATTAAAAGAAATGCCCTGATCTTGGTTGAATGTCTCAGCTGGACTAAGCAGGTCTTCACTAGATGAATCACTTGAGCATTATAAGCATTACACCCAGACTAGAGGCCTCTTTTTTTTTAACATTATTTGATAAGGTACTAAGACTAGACAAGAGATTGTTAATGCTTGTAGTGCTGGAGGCCAGAGGGGGTAAAATAATTACTGCCTTTTTTTTATGATATGCAGCAGTGAAAATCTTTAATTCAGGTCTGCCCACCTGCAAAATGAAATGTTTTCAGAGGCAACATTGTAAGTTTGCAACCCAAACAAAATGGCTTACATTGTGCAATCAAACTTATCTAACAATACCCTGCTGCCTGCAGCTGTTGAGAAATGATTGATTAATTTCCCCTTCTGCCAATTCCTCCCACCTCAAGTTGACAGGACATTTGCACAATATTCAGCAGCACTTTGTAAACACAGAAACCTACCATAACTTAAAACGGTGCGCTATCACACATCCGTAATTTCCAGATATCTAATTTGGGAATAAAACTTTGCCGACTCTTAAATGAGGAGCGTGTGTGTTTCTGCGGCAATATTAATTTGACAGGATCCAATATTTGCTAAATGCACGAGGACTGTGTGAGTTTGGAGAAAACCTCCCTGCTGAGTCATACAGCAGCAATGTAACAGCTGTGAGTAAATAGTGACTGTGTGGAGGCGACGTAGCTGACAGGCAGGTAGGCGGCGATGAAACCATAGCGCGTGTGTGTGTGTGTGTGT